TCTCTGACCTTTAAATTAAGCCACAATGTCACCTGACAGCACAATTATATTTTTATATCATGACACATAGTTAAAGGCCTGACATAAGCTTAATGCTTGAAACAATATTTCCCTCAAGAACCAGCATTCCTTCAAAAGTCTCATGTTCCTATATACAAATATACTTGAATAAAAAAAGACCAATGTTTTAAGTCAAATCCTACCAAGAGCCAGATAGGATTTGAAATATTGAATAAATGTTGTATTTTGTGCACAAAACACATGAATTTAGGAAAAAAAATTAACTTAAATGATTTTAGCAAATGGCTGCAATATAACAAAGAGTGAAAAATTTAAGGGGGTCTGAATACTTTCCGTACCCACTGTATATATGATGCTCCAGAAGGAAAAACGGTGCATTAAGAGCCGAGGGGTAAAAACTTTTTGAATTTGAAGATCAGGGTAAATTTAACTTATTTTGTCTTTGGGAAACATGTAAGTAGGGTTGGGCGATATGGCCAAAAAAATGATCACGGTCATTTTTTTCATATCAGTTGATATCGATAATTATCACGATAAATGTCAAATCTTTATTTCTTTCAAGTTTAAAGCCAGATTTTTGCTCCAAAGTGAAAGTTGTAGAAACCAGACCATTAATTTTCCTTAACAAAATAAATATCTTAACAGAAAAATGCATTTCTTTGTTTCTGCATATTTTGCATGTGATATTGTTTCAAATCAAGAAACAGGTTTGTGTTGCCTGATAATTTTTTTTGTCTCTTAGAAATGCACATTTGACAGTAGTAGTAGCTTGAGTTAAGATGCAGATGTAAATTTTTGTTCATTATCAAAATCAGTTATATCTGTAAAAATTGTAGCAACCTCATTTTTATATGGTGAAATTTAATTAGTTTTTTATTTTAAATCATTGGTCTTCCATAGTAACATACATTTAAGTCATGATAAAAACCACACATATAGCACACCTCAATACCATGGTAAAAAAACAACTATATGGTTTTTAGGTATTTGTATGAAAAACAGTAGTCTAAAAACATTTAGTATAGGCTAAATGCACACGTTATAGCTTAATCACAAAACTACTGTAATTACATTCCATTACTCCTTTAATACATTTAATTCATGTCTACATTAAGGGGGTCATATGATGCTGCTAAAAAGAACATTATTTTGTGTATTTAGTGTAATGAAATGTGTTTATGCGGTTTAAAGTAAAAAAAAACACATTATTTTCCACATACTGTACATTATTGTTTCTCCTCTATGCCCCGCCTTTTTGAAACGCGTCGATTTTTACAAAGCTCATCGGTCTGAAAAAGCGAGGTGTGCTGTGATTGGCCAGCAACGGTCCTCCATAAAATGTGCTGCACACATCTGGATATTTGGGTTAAACTGTTCTGGAACAGTGTTGTAAATACAACTTAACCACTGATTTCTAGTCGTGTCC